TTGGGAATGACCGCTGACCCAGAACCTGCGGCGGGCTCTTGCGGAAACCCAAGGCCTGGACAGGTCTGAGCGAGACCCTGAGAACAGTCAGAACTTTTGAGCGAATGCGGCTGAGGCGGGGGCGGGAAGGTAGGAGTCTGCGACTCAGGCTGCAGCCAGCACATTCAGTGATGACCCTGGGAGGTCGGGTCGCAGTCCGGCAGAGCCAGCACTGAGCTAAGTATCCACGTTGCGAGACAGACAACGCAGCCCTGTGGGGACAGTTGGTGTCTGATCAGAGGCCGGGCCTAGGAGCTAGGGCCAGCCGGGACCACGGGGCTTCTGCTGAGTCCCACATGCCAGGAGGCCTTGCGGCTGCAGAGTCACCAGGGCTTCCTGGACGGTTGTTTACTGCGCCTTCGTGGAATCGTGGGTTTGATTAACAAGCTGAGATCTTCTTCTAATGGATATTAAAGTGAATACATAATGTTAACAGAGAAAGTCTACTCCCCGTATTTATTGGTATATAAATTCCCCAGACTCAAAGCAACAGCGGCTTAGTGAGCCGGGGTTTTGATTCTCTCCCACATGACCGTCTCGGCTTGGGAGGTCCTGGGTCGAGCAGCTTCAGGGGGTGAGCCTTGGTCGCCTTCACTCTGGGCTCTGTCATCTTTGAGGTCGTTCTTGTCCGCCTGGTCCAGGGAGGTACGAGTCACATTTCTTAGAAGGGAAGAGGAGAAGGAAATGCGGGGTGCACAGTCCATTTAGGGGTACAGCAGGGAGGTGAACACCAGCTGCGGGGCAGAATGGGAAATTCAACTTTACCCTGGGTAGCCATGTGCCCTGCTACAATTGGGATTTATAATGTTACAGTAGGGGGATACGGGATATCAAGGGACAGCCAGGAGTCTCTGCCTCTTCTGTGTGCTCCTAAAAGTCACTGGCTCTCCCACCAGGGAATCCAGCCAGGACATCCCACATTGTATGAGAATTAATGAATGAGGAGAGCGTCCTTTCTGACTCTATGTGAGGGGGTGGGGGCTCAGGCCAGAGCAGGTCCATGAGTTGTAGTTGCAAGACTCCAGCCCTCTCAAAGGAGCAAGGCTGTCTACAGTTCCCACCAACTCGATGCCAATCCCATGGCCCTGCTGGGGCCTGGGCTGGGCCAGGCACTGTGCTCTTCTGTGGGCATGATTTGACTTAGAGACAAATGGGCTTTGCCCAGAGCTCCAGGTCACTCCGCAGGGGACTCAGACCCCCACGGTTCAAAGAAGTCACAATAATTTGGCCTGAATGCTGTGCTTTTGACATTGGTCAACCTGTGTCAAGATCTGGGAGGCTCTTGTTCAAGGTCATGGGACTGTCAGTGATAAAGCCAAGAGCCACCTGCATCCCTGGGGTCTTTGTAGCGAACATGCCGTGCCCTCAGTGGGCCTGAGGTATCTGCATTCGATTTCCTTTAAATTAAAGAGGTACGTGGTCACCGAATCCACCACTGTTGAATCCATCTGTTCCCTGCTCGCCTCTTCCCAGACACATCCACGTGTCATCTTTTGGCTATTCCTGAAAGTTTCTTCCAAATCTTGGAAGAGGATGGGCTTCCCAGGTGTGAGGTTACTTGCAGTCTGCTGATCCAGGTGAAGAGTCAGCTCTCACGCCACCCAGCTCCGCCCCTCCCACCCCCTGCAGATACAGCTTAATTTTTTTTTTTGAGTTGGAGTCTCACTCCGTTGCCCAGGCTGGAGTGCAGTGGCACGGTCACAGTCATCCCAGCGTTGATTTGCTGGACTCCGGCGATCCTTCTGCCTCAGCCTTCCAAGTAGCTGGAAGGTGCACGCTATCGCACCTGGCTAATTTTTGATTTATTGTAGAGATGAGATCCTGTCAAGTTGCCCAGGCTGGTCTTGAACCCGCGGACTCAGGCATTCTACTTGCCTCGGTCTCCCAAAGTGCTGGGATTACAGGCTAAGCCACCAAGCCAGGCCCAACTCTATTTTTAATTCCATCACAATCGACATTTGTGTCATGTGACCAAGTAAATGCTTTCCTCGGCAGAGCTAAGTGTTATATATAGTTTCATCTCTTATACACCTTTTGTTTTTCCTTGAGGTAGTAATCTCCTTGATCTGTTTACTTGCGATCATTGCTTGCATGTACTTAGTTATTTCCTAATGCTCCATCATTTATTTTATTTTGAAGTGTTTCTCAAGCTGTTTTGACCAGGACTCATCACAAGAAATATATTTTACAACAGAACCCACATACACACACGTGCGTGCACTCAATACATATACGGGAATATAAAGTTTCACAAAACAATATCCCCTGCACCATGAGTGATGCCTGATATTCCCTGCTCAGTCCTGTGCTTAATGTTCTAAAGTGCTGGTTGTGCCCCTTGGATTGACATTAGCCTGAGAAGCTCTGGGCCCATCTGCCAGACCCTCGTTCCTGGGTCCTCCCAGTAGTCCCTGCCACAGTCCCGCCGGGATGGTGCTCTCCTGCAACCCGCCAGTCATTGCCTGGAGTCTCCCCGGGCTCCTCCCCTGAGCTGATCAACTGGATCAATTGCTGGATGGGTCTCGTGTCTTCTCTCTGCTTTTGATGAGTCACTTCTATATTACCTTTTTATTGAAGAAAACACATTTTCAGTGACTCTCCAGCATTTTATTTTATTTTTTTTTACCATTTCTCCAGTAGCAGAAAATGCTAGTGGGAGGAGAAAGTGCAGCAGAGGGAAGCAGGGTTGCAGGTGGGAGACCCGACTGACAGGCGGCTTTGGTTCTGCTCAAGGCCAGTGACATGTGAGGACAAGCCTGGCATCCAGCTAGACCTCCCTGGAGACACCCGAACGACGGAATGAGATGTTTGCTGTGGCTCCAACCAGAGCATCTCGCCCTTGGCTCTGCTGATGCTTGGGTGGGTAAGTCTGTGTAGGGACCGTCCTATGCATTGTGGGGGGGTTTGCAGCGTCTTTGGCCTCTGCCCACCAGATGTCGGTAGCACCAACTTCTGTTTTGACAACCGGAAATGTCCCCAGGCACTGCCCCATGTCCTCTGGGGTAAGGCTGCCCCAGTGGGACCCCCGGCTTGAAGGTCTGGCCCTTGCACCTGTGATCCCACAGAATTGTGGGCTACTGATCGCATGCCAGGAGCTGACACGGGTCAACGGCATCCTCAAGTAACCACGCTGGAGTGCGATCACCTGACACTGTGATTGCCATCTTGGTCACGTGGAAGCAAACATGGAGCCTCACATCTCGGTGTTACTTGTGAGGATGGCCCTTGGAGAGATGTTGACGTCCAGCACCAACCCTGTCCTACTGCACAGATTTCCAGAAACCATGGCGAAAACACTGTCATTGATTGCAACAGACCATTTTCTGCCACCTGGGGACAGGTTGCCTCTCTCTCGCTCGCTCACTCTCTCACTCACTCAGTCAATCACTCAGTCACTCATTCATTCAGTCTCTCACTCACTCAGCCACTCACTTAATCACTCTCTCTCTCATTCACTCACTCTCTCAATCACTCATTCTGTCACTCACTCAGTCTCGCACTCACACCCTCTCTCACTCCCTCACTCAGTCTTTCAACCACTCACTCACTTTCTCACTACGCACGCACTCAGTCTCTCACTCACTCACTCATTGTCACACACTCACTCACCGACTCATTCAGCCTCCCACTCAGTCACTCACTCACTCGCTCATTCAATCATTCTCTCCCTCATTCACTTACTCAGTCTCTCATTCATTCATTCACTTACTCACTCAGTCACTCACTCACTCAGTCAGTCTCTCAGTCACTCCCTCAGTCTCTTACTCACTCCTTCTGTCTCTCAGTCAGTCTCTCACTCACTCACTCAATCTCTTACTCACTCAGTCTCTCACTCACTCACTTATTCACTCATTTACTTACTCTCTCAATGTTTCATTCACTCATTCACATACTCTCCCACTCAGTCTCTAACACACAGAGGCAGTAGGGATCATATAGTCATTTTATCAGTGCCTTATTTAAAGTAAATGTGCTAGAGCTTAGGGAGTTACCCTAGCTTCAGGTCAGGAAAGGTAGGATCATCTTCTTTCAGATCCTCAACAGGTATGAAATGCTCTCCATTCTGGACTTGGAGCTAGAAGGTGAGCTGCTTGAGCTGCCCTGGCCATCTTGCTGGGGTTTGAGAGAGCGGGCCAAGAATGGAGCCAAGTCTATGAAATCAGAGCCAGCGATGGAGAATGCATGGGTCCTGAGGATGTCATCTGATCCCTGGATCCACCCATGCCTGCAACCCACACTACCTCTGGAGTTCTTTGTTATAGAACCAACACATTTCTTTTTCTTTTCTTTTCTTTTTTTTTTGCCCTTAAATCTTGAACTGGCTTTCTGTGATTTGTAATCAAAGGTTCCTGACTCATAGTCACCTGAAATTTCAGGAGTCATTGATGAAAAAACAATGGTTTTCCACCAAGTTCCATGGCAAAGTTCCTAAGGACTGTGAAGCCACACGGAGCTTTCCCGTTCAGAAGATGGCACCGTGGGGACTCCTTAGCTATAGCACCAAGGCCAGAGTTCTTTGCTGTAAAAGGAAGAGACACTTGTGAAGAGTCATTTGTGGACAACCTCACCAAAGGGACAATTTAGCATTAAGTATCAGGCCCAAAATTTGAGCTTTATATTACATCAGAATGAACTTGAAAGTATGAGCTGACTTTAGACCAAAGAGCCTTCGTTGATGCATCAGCTTTAAACCAGAGATGTCTGACTCTTCTTCTGTCTGGCACAAGTAAATGGGGGAGCAACACATTTCCCCCAAGGATCCCCCAATCTAGGGACTTTGGGGCAGGCTTGTGTCTCCTCCATCCACTCACGGCAGAGATGGAAGAACCAGGGGCTTATCTGTCCCTTAGGGGAGTATCCGTTCTTAGGTGGCCCTCAGGGACTCGAGGACAGGCTCTGGAATAGACATTCTCTTGTACTGAACTAAAATAAAGAAGAAAAGAACACAAAGAGAGGCTCTGTTTTTTGGTAAGGACATTTGCACCAATTTATTTAGTATTTTCTATGGTTCAGTGGCTCCTTGTGCTGGAAACTCGTACTTAGCGAGCGCCCTGTGCTGTGCCTGGGTCTGCACCTAGAATAAGAGGCACTGGGTGAGGTCACTGGAGCCAGTGTTCACTCCTAGTAGTGTCCACGGCACTCTTTAGACTACCTTACCCTCCACAAGAAGAGCCGCAAGAAAGCTTTGGGATTTGGCATCAAAATAGTTAATGGTTCCCTCTTTCCCACTGTGAACTTAAATTATAACTAGAGGAATTCAAGACCCTCAAGGAAGGATGTTCATGCAGTGTTGCTTATAGCAACCAAAATCAAGAAAACAAGAAACAATGTGATTATCCAGCAAGAGGACTGTGAGAGCTGATTCTTGCATATCTTTTTTTTTTTTTTTTTTTTTTTTGT